TGCCGGTTTCTTTGTAAGACTTTTATGGAGAAATCAAATGAGTGTATGAAATGAACAAAAGAGCTGAACGGCACACGAAGAAACTGCTCGGGTAAAAATTCAAAATGTTAAGTTTTTTTTTTTTTTTATAACATGTAGTTAAGCAACATACTATGACAAGGCAAGGGAGCTAATTGCTGAATATTCTCCTGATTGCAAATGTTACATTGATTTTAAACTAGGTGAGTAGTCACGTAATTAGGTTACTTACATTTTAGACACAGTATCGACTGTTTTGTTCTGTTTCACCAACTAAAATAGTTCCAAACAAAGATCACAGTAGAAGTATAGCGCGATCTATACTTCTATAGATTGTTGCTATAGATCAACACACAGCGGTGTTTTGTTACTGAATGATTCAGAGTCACTAGACTCACTCATTAAGTGACTTGCTGCCACCTACTGGCAGGGTTAGTATGTTTAAAAATATGTGTTTCCCCCCAACATTTCCATTTTGTATATTCAAAATTGCATTTAAAACATTAATCCCATAACATTAATGCAGTTGTAATTGTGCAATGTAAATTAATTTGTTTGATAACCGCCTTAGTGTAAACTGAATCTATTGATCAATTGTAAGAATTTGACATGAAATATGATGCATACATTTAATAAGGTTTAAAAAATGGCCTTTATAAAAGTAAATAATATCCTGAGTTTAATAAAAAAAATATGCAGATAAATGTAAAAGCCGACAGAACACAGATCAAATATTGCTTCGGAATAAATTGTTTACACCACCAGAAATCTTGGTCATGCGGTGCTTTTGTGGGGATATTTTGTATGGGATATTGTCTGCTAATATGACAAGTTTGCTGTATATCGTAATAATAAATAGCATGTTTGACAATATTATTATTATTGTGTGGGAACCCTGACAAGCTGTTTTAGTGACGTCTTTCCGCGGTTGAAACACTAATTGAGTGATTACTTGAGGGGTGAGATGTTCATTCATGTATATTTCGCGTTAAAACTTGTAATAAAGAGGAAGGGATGAATGCGTTCATTCGCGCTGCCATCAGAACTGAGACGTTTATACAGCAATCTGTCGCGCCACATCAAAGAGCGCCAACGCGGCATTTATTGTATATAACATAAATATATAAAAGACGTTCTCGTTCTGGGTCTAAATAAATGCAATTCTGGTCAAGAAAAAGAGAGAGAAGCAGCAATTGTGAGTGGGGTGGCCAACCTTAGCCCTACCCCTGCGTTAACTGTTAATTTGTTTTACTGGAAAAAACTGGAAAAATGAATCGCTTGTGTGAACGCACTAATTTTGACAGCACTGATATAATATAAATATATATATATATATACATACATACATACATACATACAGGTGCATCTAAAAAAAATTACAATATTGTGAAAGTTCTTTTTTTTTGTAACCTATTTCAAAAAGTGAAATTTTCATATATTCTACATTCATTACACGTAAAGTAAAACATTTCAAAGGTTTTTTTTTGTTTGTTTGTTTCTTGAACTTGGATATTTTATTGAAGTAGTAATCCAAGCACCAGAAGCAGCCCACTCTCTGTAAGTTTTCTTTAATTGAACAATTATTAAATAATTAAATTCATTCATTCATAGGCTATATGGTTGCAATAGTAGGCTATTTTAGTTCAAATTTAAGTGCCATTGTTTAAAAAAAGATATTATTGACTAACATTTCATAGATATGCTTCTGTTATGCTTTCAAATTTCTTGCCATTTGTATGCATGTAATTTCACAGTATTTTCACCTCCTAAATTACTACACTACTTGTGCAGTCACAATTCTATAATGGTACAATTTATGAAGACATTTTTTTTGTATGACATTAAAATTATTTTTAGAATAATTGTACATAAATAGGTTAAGCAAAACAAATGTGATTTATTCCTGAGAACTTTTTAACTGCAGGCAGACATGGTACAGTAGTCCTACAAATACTGTATTTTGTTGGAGATATGCGAGCAAAAAATAATAGATTACAAAAATGGATAATAGAAAGCACAAAGGCGGTAAAAAAAACTTGCACTGAAAAGGCAAGTAAAAAAATATATAAAATAAAGCTGTAGAAAAATATGAATTACAAGTCTGTAGAGAAGAGTGCACTATTGCAGACCTATATACTGAAGTTTTAATTACATTATTGTAATAGCTATAGTCAGTCGTGAACTAAAGTGGGCCGGTCAAAGGCATGAAACTCCAGGGCTGAAAATTACTCCCACTCCGGCCCTGTTTTTATGAGCCATTTTCCGAAGCTTTCTCGCTTCTTAAGACGGCCACCGTCAATCACATAAGCACAGCTCTTTAAAGGCACAATATGTAATTTTTCACCGCTAGAGGGCGCGTATTCAAAACAAACAAAGAAATAAAGGCGTAGTTTGATGAGGCGTGACTGAGTGTGGAATCATGGGAGTTGTCGTCTTCATCCCCACAGCTGAAGCAATCCGACGGGACTCGGGCAGAAATCATGTTTATGGATGAGCTTATGATTTATTAACGTAGTCGTATGAAACGGGGTGAGGCTGAAAGCCATCGAAGTGAAACAAGGCAATTGAACAAGCGTGAGACACGGCTCGAAAGCAGCGGAGCTTTTATTATGCCACAGTCGAGCGCTTCCGCTCCTTCCGGTCGTGTGTATGTGGGGTAAAGCAGCGCTGTTTTATCATACTAGATACGTTTGAAAGTTCTGTTATAATGCTACTCTGAGCGGTCGTCACCTGTCTAATAAAATGCGTAGCATATTAAAGCGTCTTTGGTGTGAAGACATTTTTTTTGTATGACATTAAAATTATTTTTAGAATAATTGTACATAAATAGGTTAAGCAAAACAAATGTGATTTATTCCTGAGAACTTTTTAACTGCAGGCAGACATGGTACAGTAGTCCTACAAATACTGTATTTTGTTGGAGATATGCGAGCAAAAAATAATAATTACAAAAATGGATAATAGAAAGCACAAAGGCGGTAAAAAAAACTTGCACTGAAAAGGCAAGTAAAAAAATATATAAAATAAAGCTGTAGAAAAATATGAATTACAAGTCTGTAGAGAAGAGTGCACTATTGCAGACCTATATACTGAAGTTTTAATTACATTATTGTAATAGCTATAGTCAGTCGTGAACTAAAGTGGGCCGGTCAAAGGCATGAAACTCCAGGGCTGAAAATTACTCCCACTCCGGCCCTGTTTTTATGAGCCATTTTCCGAAGCTTTCTCGCTTCTTAAGACGGCCACCGTCAATCACATAAGCACAGCTCTTTAAAGGCACAATATGTAATTTTTCACCGCTAGAGGGCGCGTATTCAAAACAAACAAAGAAATAAAGGCGTAGTTTGATGAGGCGTGACTGAGTGTGGAATCATGGGAGTTGTCGTCTTCATCCCCACAGCTGAAGCAATCCGACGGGACTCGGGCAGAAATCATGTTTATGGATGAGCTTATGATTTATTAACGTAGTCGTATGAAACGGGGTGAGGCTGAAAGCCATCGAAGTGAAACAAGGCAATTGAACAAGCGTGAGACACGGCTCGAAAGCAGCGGAGCTTTTATTATGCCACAGTCGAGCGCTTCCGCTCCTTCCGGTCGTGTGTATGTGGGGTAAAGCAGCGCTGTTTTATCATACTAGATACGTTTGAAAGTTCTGTTATAATGCTACTCTGAGCGGTCGTCACCTGTCTAATAAAATGCGTAGCATATTAAAGCGTCTTTGGTGTTTCCATGCTTTCTACAAAACAAAACCGGAAATCGAGGGGTTATGACGTCATTGGCAGGCGACACAATGACACTATAGACACGGTCCGTGTCACTAGTTAAAATTGCTTATTTCTCTGGATTTAAACATTCTTTGAAACATTTGGGATAATGGAAGTACACAAGTCAGCAAAATATATAGCACTGTTCTAGTGATATCTTTTTGGATATTTTAATTTAAAAAAATCTTGCATATTGTGCCTTTAATTGCGCTCTAGTCTCTGGTCAAACGTGCTCAAACCACTGTAGCCTAATGTAATCTATTAACTACGCACATCATAATGTTTTAGGCAAGTAGGCTACCATATTATGACATAAAATATTTTAATAAGACTGAATTTGCATTTAACCTGATCACGTTTAATAAAGACATTTTAAGTTTAAATATAACACCGCATGTCCACGATTATTCAAACAATGAACAAATTATACCGCGAGCACAGAACATTTAGATTATCAAAGAATATCACTGAATTCAGTCTAGCGTGAATGTAAGCACTCTAAAAAAAAATAAATAAAAAAAAAAGGCTATAAGCTATAATCAGTGATGTCTGCAGTGTATGATGAATTAATCTCTTATTTTTACATCGCATGTACATCACTTTGTTGTTTCTGATGACCGAATTTGCCAAAGTGCACAGATCAAAACTTTTGCGCGTTTTGCGTATCAGCAATGTTAATAAAAATTAATAAAATCCCCTTAAATAAAAATATTAAAGAAAAAAAATCTTGAACTCAAATCACAAAAACACAAATATATATTGGTTCGCATGTATGTTAATCTATTTTATATTAGGATTTTGTCAAAAATCCCCCGCCCCCAGCACCCCCCAGATAAAATCTGTTCCCGCAGCTATGCATTTTCCTGATCAGTCATTGCGGTCACTTCCAAGTATTTCAGTACATAGTTACCCCTGGCCATTCCTAGATTTAAATATTTACTTTTTTGACATTCCCATTCCAGTTTCTGTATTTTCTTAAGAATTGAAAATTCATGGCTCTTTGAAAGTGTACTTGATTTCTTATGCTGTTACGTTGTCATTATATCAGTGACATAAAATGGTCTTAAAATAACAATAATGTCATACATTTATCACAATTATTTCTGGTTCAATTTATTGTCTGTGTTATTGTGACAGGCCTACTGATTTTATAAAGCTGCCTCAACATGCCACTTTTTATGAGCCTTTTTCTTTATTGCAAACCTTTCTTGTCTTCAGGTAGTTTAAATAAGGTGACATATGACCCCATGAACAGAAACCCTTTATACTGCGGGGCAGATCACACGGCCCTCTGGGAACTGCAGAAGGTATTGAGGCTGATACAGTCTTTCCATTCTTCTCATTATCACTGTGATCTGTGCTCTGACGTTGTGACCAAGTGAGTGTTATTTCTTTCAGCTGTCCTTTCATTTCCATCCCTCCGTGGCTCTTTTTGCTAAGACTTTATTGCAGGTAACAACTTTCTCTTGTTTAAATTCAGGTCAAAATTGTATTTTGTAAACAAAATGTTACACACTCCTGGTCTTATTTTGAAAGATTTTTCATTGCACAGAAAAAAATATATATTTGTCTTTTGTAGTTTGTAATTGTTTTTTTTTTTAATCATAGTAACCTTATCCACCTCTGAAATAACTGTTTTGGTTGATGACACTTTAAGCTGCAACAGTTTTTTTGGTAAACCAATAGTGAAATGGCTATTTAGACATTGTTTTAGGCTGCTGTTGTTAGTAATAGTCTTTCTGAGATCTTGCCAGTTCACCTAAAAATAAACGGTTACATTTATTCATTTAGCAGATGCTTTTATCCAAAGCGACTTACAAATGAGGACACTACGTAGAAGCAATCAAAACCAACAAAAGAGCAATAATATGGATGTGCTATAGTTGAGTTGGGCAGGTCATTCCACCAGGAGGGAACATTTAATGTTAAAGTCAGTGAAAGTGATTTTGTGCCTCTTTGGGATGAACAATAAAGCGACGTTCACTTGCAGAACGCAAGCTTCTAGAGGCACATAACTCTGAAGTAATGAATTTAGGTAAAGGGTTGCAGAGCCAGTGGTGGTTTTGTAGGCAAACATTAATGCCTTGAATTTTATGCGAGCAGCTATTGGTAGCCAGTGCAAATTGATAAGCAGAGGTCTCATTAAAGATTAATCTTGCGTCCGCATTCTAGATTAATTTTAGAGGTTTGATAGAACTGGCTGGAAGACCTGCCACGAGAGCACTGCAATAGTCCAGCCTGGATATACTCGCATATAATCACATCGAACATTTGTCTACATGACTGGAAGTGAGGTTTAGACGGCATTACTTTGAAATCTTCAAACTTCAGCTTTTTAAGCAACTTAAAACTTTTGTCCATCAAAGTTTGTCTTAACAAAATTTATTATTATTATTATTATTATTCATTTGACCCACAGGGAGAGTTCATCCTGTACACAGGGGATCCGCTTCAGGACTTCACACTTATCCGATTCTTAGATCGTTTTGTATTTAGGAATCCAAAGCAAACGAAGGGAAAAAGTAAGCAAACTCTGCAAAATGCCACTTTGGACTCTTGAACTGGTGACTTCATTCATTTTGCTAAATGTATCCTTTACATTCTAGAAAACACAGATGCTACAGTGATGCAGCCCAAATACAGGAGGACGTTCAATAATATTCAGTCATTACCTGGTGAGTCCTGTATCGTTGTGTGTTGTGCCAAAAAAATTTATTTAGCATATTCGTTGAATTATTATAGAATTCAGATTAGGGCTGCATGATAAAATCGCATGGGTGATCTACAGTTCTGTGTATTAAATGCCACTCCATCTGAAAGCATGTGATGGAGATTTACTACTAATCACAGAACCGGCTTTACTGACGAGATGCGCATGACAATCACATGCGATTTATCGTGCAGCCCTAATTCAGATGGTGAGCAGTTATATACTACTATACTATACATGCACAGAGTTTACATGCAGTCCAATCAGATGAACAGCTGCTCCTTTTTTCCCTCCAATATTTTCTAATTTAATACTATTAAAATTTGTGAAATTAGTAAGCCAGTAAACAATTGCCAGTTTCAATTGTTTCATTACGCCAACCAATTTTACAAAGATTTAGGGATATCTGGAATGTGAAAGATCTAGAATTTGCAATATAGTAAAATTTGTGAATGGAAATAGCTCAAGGGCAGATTTTTATTGCTACTTACCCAATTTTTTTAAAGTTTGAAATCTTGGCTAATGACAGCTGTAATGCTCCAATGGAAATTATCAAAAATTTCCAAAAAAAGCTGCAAACCTTATGAGTGCTTTATTTTCCAAAGATTTAATAAAAATATTTAAATTGCACATAAGTTACTTTTCATAAAAACTCAACAGATTTATTCAGACTTAAATATTCATCAAGAGAAAAGGTAAATAATCTCCCTTCTAGAGATTTTTTTTTTTCCCAGCTAACTAACAGAACTATGAACACTGGATATCGTTCCCAAGATAAATGGGGCATTAGTTGGCGAACGAGCTGATTTTTTTGTGGTTAAAACACAGGTACATGATGCATTTCAGTAAGTTGTACTACTGTCATGTGTATTATATTTTGTGCTGTAACTAGTAAAGAGGAGATGACTGGTTCATGTGTGCTCTGTGCTGCCACTTATACAATGCCAAAACGAACTTTGTGAAAAAATTAACAATCTGAAAGTTGAGACTTTTTATCAAAAGTAAGATTATTTTGGGTGGGAGGAGCACTACAAATAATGTTTAGTGAAATTTTGCTCAGGCATCAAATGAAAACAGCTTAGACTAACCCTTTAAATCCCAAGATCTATCTTTTAGTTCATCCAAAAATTAAAATTGCCATCCTTTACTCACCCTCACATTGTTCCAAACACTAGACATTTGGTTAAGATATTTATGAAATATGAGAGATTTATGTCCTTCCATCGAAAGTCCAGGTAACCAAATCTTAAAATATCCAAAAAGGCATCATAAAATGGGGGTAAGGGGGTGGGTTGGACATTATTGTAGATTAATTAAATAATAACACCTTGTTTCTGTAACATTTTAGAGCCAGAACTGTAACAGCCTGGTTTTATAACAAGCTATGAGGAAGAACAACAGTCAGATTTGTTTATTTGTTTGTTTTTGTGCAGTGAACTGTGAAGAATATTTGGCCAAAGAGGAGAGTCAGATACCTGTGGATGAGGTGTTCTTCTACAGGTTAGTAGAGTCATCCATCAAATACAAATGACATTCAAGAGAGGGCTAAAATAATGTAAATGTGCTGTTATGTGTCACTCAGGTACTTTAAGAAGCGAGATGCAGAGAAACGGTGGAAAAAACCAAACAGAAACGAGGACAATGAGAGTGTGGAAGATGTTGACGATGATGAATTTGAGAGGGTGCTGGGTAGGCCCAGAAATTGACACGGTTTTTCTTTATTCTTTAAAGTTTCATGTGAGAAACCTGACCAAAATTTTGTCGCCTCAGATGTTTATGAAGGAGACAGCTTTTTCACGGAGTTCAAGGATGATGACTTGGACTTTGCAGGGTATGTCCAGTACTGTTTACACCGTTGCATCTTCATCGTGTGTAGTAATGACACTGCAGGTGTGGTGGAAAGCACCGTTTTCTTATATCCTGGTTGATAAGGATCTAGTATGTAAGAAAAGAAAAAGTGGGGGGAAAGCAGATCAAATTAAAGACCCCTTTGATGCGTTCTTTCAAATGAAATTATATTTTTCAATATAATCAAACTCAAAATATATTAGAAATGGTGGAATATATTTTGACTGTTGCAGTCAGCAGATAAAAAGAAAAACACTATAGTTGTAATTCACAGAAGCAAATTTAGTACTTATGAACTTGCATGTATTTAGAATGAATTCAAGCAGCGTAGTAAATGTCAAGACTGTGAACTTTTACTGTGTTTTACTGTATGCTACACAGTACTACGCTGTATTTTAGATTGTCCTTTTTAACAGTTAACAAATAACCGATAACCACTCCTGCAAGTGATGTGAGAAAAAGATATCCGTCTACGAATTAAGATTTTTTTAAATAATTTTTTGAACAAATGTTGTATTTCATCCCCTATTAAATGAGAAACAAATTAATAAAACATGGCTACGATTTAGCTAAAACAATTAAACCAAAAAGAAGGGACGGTTATGGATTAATAACGTCCTCAAGTTCTCTCGGGATCAACAAAGTCCACACACAATGTAAATTAGAGATTCATTGTGCAGTGTTGTCAACTTTGAGGAGCGTTCTTTACAATTTAAGTAAAATTTTTGTTTTTCATGCAGCCACATATAAATGCAGGACTGAATCCGCTAAATTATTGTTTCATTAGTCACTAAAAATGCTTTGACATCATTGACAGTGATAACCATAGCAATGAAAAATGAATGAAAATCAGTGTTGGCTGAATGTGTTTGTTAAATTATGACTAACTTAGTAGTTAAATTTTTTTTTTTAGTTAAATCATAGGAACAAATAAATAGTTTTCTCACTTTTTGAAGGAGCAATTGAATAAAAAGTGATCAGTTAATTCACGGACATTATATTTTTCGACATATAATGCAGGGCTCTTTAAAAGGGAATGGATGTGCCAAAAAAAGGACATAATGAATAAACATGCGCATGATCTGTTGAAATGCATTTTACAAATTATTAAATGTTTTGTTTGTTACATTAATGTGGTCACATATTGATGAGTAACGAGTTTCACATGTGACTGGGTTGTATTTACCACCACATATACATGGTGGCCAAACTATCTTTGTTGCAGCAATGTGATGCCCAAGTCCAAGAAAGGTCGAGATAAAGATGGAGAAGATTCTGATGATGACGATGAAGATGATCTTGATGATGAGGAGGTCTCTTTGGGCAGCATGGATGAAGACTTTGAAGATGAACTTGAGGATGAAGGTGGAGAGTTTATGGACATAGAAGAAAAAGATGATGATGATGATGATGCAGGTGTGTCAAATCTTTCATTATCAAAGTTAAAAATAAGTATGTCTTCGTAATGTCAAAGATAATGCAAAATGAGAAATGGAAAAGATTTAAAGGCTGGGACACACCAAGCTGACTTCAAAGAACTACCAGCGACAAACGCCGACGGTGTTGTCGCCTCGCATCAGCAGCATCTGGATCAAAAAGCTGCACTTGAACACACTGCTCAGACTACAGCCGACTGCAAACTAACACGTTCTGTGCCTGCGTGAGGAATTAACTGTCTATATCAGCAGCTATCAATAGTAAATATTCGTCATTCAAAAGGACAAACCAAATCAGAGATATACGCAGATATACAAAAAGTAAACAAAGCAGCGCTTGCTTACCATTTTGAATATCAGTTATGTTGAGCCAATTAAAATGAAGAAAATTATCATGTTATGCAAACATTAGCATATTGGAATGCTTGTGTAAGATCACGTAACATTAAAACAGCCTTCTCTCTGTGCCGCCTGCATTTACTTGCTAGTTTTCGTCACTTTTGATTTAATTCTTGAGCACGGACTCGTTCGCTAAACTGAACATCCAATCAGAGTTCTCACTTGCGCCGATTACAATCTAACCTTGAGGTCATGAACGCATGAATTAACGTTTCTGCATTTGACATTGAGAGCTTAGGTCATCATTTAGATATATTTTTGAGATGGAAAAATGCAATTTTACAAATGCTAGAAACGTGGCTTTCAAAGGAAAGATTGCTATCAAATAGCACACCTAGGTTCCTAACTGATGACGAAGAATTGACAGAGCAGCCATTGAGTCTTAAAAAGTGTTCTAGGTTATTACATGCGGAGGTTTTAGGTCCGATAATTAACACCTCTGGTTTTTCAGAATTTAGCAGTAAGAAATTACTCGTCATCCAGTTTTTTTTATATCGACGATGCATTCCATTAGTTTTTCAAATTGGTATGTTTCGCCAGGCCGCGAAGAAATATAGAGCCGAGTATGATCAGCATAACCGTGAAAGCTAACACCGTGTTTCCTGATGATATCTCCCAAGGGTAACATGTAAAGTGTGAAAAGTAGCTGCCCTAGTACTGAGCCTTGAGGTACTCCATACTGCACTTGTGATCGATATGATACCTCTTCATTCACTGCAACGAATTGATGGTTGTCAGATAATTACAAAGGTTTTTAAAAAAATTATATATTGCATGAGTAAATAATAGTCAGAAATAGTATTCATTTAAAACTATTGCAGCTTAAACTTTTACGTATAAAGTTGTTTCACTTTTGATACATTATCGCATTCGATAAAATATTTTATGGTATTGAGTGTTTGTCATAGCATTTACAATTGAAGCTTTTCTTTTGATATAATTTTTTATATGCATTACAGCAACCTTTCTGTTTTAATTACAACAAAGATGAAACCATGTTTTATTATATCCATGTGGTATGGTAATTGTGGTATAAGCAGAATAAATGGCTCTGGAACAAAGTATTGAATTATAGCACTTTGCCAGTTCCGATTAATTAGCTGGTTCAGGTGTTTGATTAGTGTTGGAGCTGAACTCTACAGGATGGTAGCACTCCAGGAGCAGGTTTGGCTACCCCTAAAAATGGACTTTGAATAAATAAAAAAAAATGGACGAGGAAAAAAAAAAATCAAGTATTTTTGTAAGATTCACCCCTACATTTTCCCAATCAGCTGAATAAATTCAGTTTCCTGTGTGTGTGTGTGTGTCTGTGTGTCTGTGTGTGTGTGTGTGTGTGTGTGTGTGTGTGTGTGTGTCTGTGTGTGTGTGTGTGTGTGTGTGTTTGTAGATATGCCCCTTCGTGTTCCCAAGCATGTGTGTATATTCTTTGTTGTGTGTGTGTGTGTGTGTGTGTGTGTGTGTGTGTGTGTGTGTGTGTGTGTGTGTGTGTGTGTCATCCAAAAGGTGCTCAACCTGCAAAGAAGAAAAAGAAAGGAAAAATGGAGGACCAGTCGGTGTTTGCATCAGCTGAAGAGGTAGATGATTTATTATGGGCTGAATTAAACAATGTTACACTTCACAACATATTTTACATTTTTTTAAAGATTAGTATTTTGTTTTCTGTTGCAACAGTGTTACTTTCATGTTTTGTATCACTCTGATTTCACCCTCTTTTCATGTCAGTGAACGTTACAATGGTCAATTAGTACTTTAATTGGTGAATTACACCAAGGCCATTTTTGCAGTCACTTTACAGTCTCCAGTTAAAGCAGGGTGACTCTACCTGCATATTATATATGCAATGAGCAAATTTATAGACTGTACATTTGTAAATAATTCTTAGTAAATTAGACACATTTGCACGTACATCACCTCAGAAGAGAGGAGATTTTAAGCCACTTTAACAAAAATCCCGCTGAATGAAAAGAAAATGTCTTTCTTTTTAAACAGTTTGGCTGTTTGCTGGAAGAAAACACGAGCTTGAAGTTTGACAACAATGATATGAATGCAATGGCCAATACGGACAAAGCTGGTGAGTGCTGAAAATAGATTTGTTTTCCAAAAGAAAAATGAGTTCATACACAACAATATAGAGTAATATGTTTTATCATTCCAAATTGTTCAAAACGTTTCTGTGAGTGAAATCTGTTGGAAGAAACTTTAGATTTGCTGCTTTTGTGGAGTGAAATCTTACCTCATTCTCCTGTGTCTCTTCAATCAGATGTTAAGCAGCTGAAGTGGGAAGTCAAACGGAATGACTGGATTCATGGTAGAGATGTCAAAACTCTGCGACGGAAAAAGGCCATGTTCAACAAGAGAAAGTTCGGAAAGGCCCAAAAGCTGAAGAGTGTCAAAAGGAAGAAGTGATGACCAGAAACTAGAATAATAACTATATCTTTCTCCCACTTGGTGGACCAGACCTCCTGATCTGCTTCACCTGAGCCTTAGATTCCTGTATACGGGGGAGGGGGGGGGAATGCTTCTAAAATATACTAGTTGTAAAGTGGTTTAGTCACAGGCGTTTGCAGTGTTGTATTAAATCCAGGGTTCATACATAGTTTAGAAAATGCTTTATTTTATCTGTTATGCTTGAATGTTTTAAAATGATAATATCTTGTGTACTATCTAATGTTTTCCGATGTTTTTTTTTTTGTTTTGTTGGTCATCACATACAGAATTGTTCAATTCAGTGGGCATCAGTAAACATATCGAGCACAATATTCTTCCACCAGTTCAAGTGTGAACCTACAGTGTTCATTTTCCGAGCATATGAAACATGTCAGCATATTTTTTTTCCATATTTTTTGCCATTGCGTCACAATATTTTAAAAAGCAGATCAATATACAAGTATAAAACTTTGTGCAGAAGCTCTGTTTGCTTGTAAATCTTTATACCAGCTGTAAACAGGGCCCTGGGAATGAAAAAATTATAATTAAAGAATCTTCCCAAACACCCTCTCTTTAACAAAACTGGAGATGAATGAAATAAGACTACTACAGTTTACAATCATCGAGAAATAACCTGAAACAACATGCACCTGACCAGTTACATGAAACATGGGTAATGTGAATTTGATTCACATCTCATGAGATGTTCCTCATTGGACAATGTCTCTGGGCTACCCATATTTGGCTTGATGGTTATTTGGAGAGGAATAAACTCCTTAACATTAACAAAGCCAAAAATATTGGGTTTAGGCAATCTTGGCTTGATTCACAATGTGTCCAATGACCTGTCTGTTATATTATCATCCCCCTAACAGCAAATAGGATTTCTCCCTCCCTTTACTGATAAAACTGCTTAGACACTTTTGGGAAGGCCTACAACTAGATGTTGGGACCTGGATGCAGTACTGGTCAAACCAAGTCAGACACGGCAAAGAAAAAGACAATACTAGGAGTATTCAATAAGCTCTTCTCACTCTCGTCACATCTTTCCTATTTCCTGCCTTTGCCTCCCTTTTTGGGCTTGTAAAAGAGTTAACATTAACTGCTTCAAATATCAGACCGTATCTAGACCTCAGAGAGGTCTAATACTGGGGTTCTCAACTCTGGTCCTGGGAACCCACCGCTTTGCACATTTTATATGACCTTATTTAACACGCCTGATTCAGATCATCAGCTCCATGAACAGAGTATTGTGTGTCAGATAAGGGAAACGCAAAAATGCAAAGTGGTGGGTTCCCAGGACTAGAGCTGAGAACCACTGTATCAGACCGGTCTCGGAGAAAATACTCCTAACACAATTAAAATACAAGGCGAAAAACAGTGGGTTTCAATAAGGAAAGTAAAACTACCTTTATGCAATTCAATTTTTGTATTTATTGAAAAAAAGAGAGTGGAGACCATCAAACAATAAAATATATATTTCACCCAAGCCGGACAATCAGCACAGTCCAATGCACATCTTTAGCGCAAGATTACATCTGGTTGTCTAGTTAAACATGTGGATGCTGCTACATTATGTCCATTTACTGTCTTTTCAATGCATGTCCAGCTCAGCAAAGCCAGCCACTGGCAATGGTGCGGTGTTCTTCTGCATTCCTCTATACTGAGCCAGCCGACCTCGATTAAGCACAGAGAAGAACTGAAACCTGTGTCCCATTTTCTCAGGGTTAATCAGCATATCATAGCTGTGGATGAGCTGCGCTCTGGTGGAGGGGTCATGACAGTTCCTCAAGAGGACCTAAAGCAGAGCACGACAAAGCAAATGTCGAGTTAAAACAACAACTTTGCCAAAACAATGGGTTAAACCAAGTATTTCAGGGAGATTCGTATAGTGATACAACACTGATACAACACAGTTTTTTTTTTTGGTTTTGGGAAGCTTTTTAGCTCACTTCTGGGTACAAATTTGTCCCCAAAATATTGTACATACAAACAACAGTTTTATTTCAAATATATAGGCCCAGTTTCACAGACAGGGCTTAGACTTAGCCAGGATTAGGCCATAGTTCAATTAGGACATTTAAGTCATTTTTATTAACATGCCTTAGAAAAAACATTACTGGTGTGCATCTTGAGACAAAACAAAGGCACTGATATATTTTAAGATCAGTCGGTGCAAGTTTCTTTCAGTTAAAACAGCTCAGACTTACACTTTAGGACTAGGCTTAAGCCTTGTTTGTGAAACCGGAGGATAAAGTATTTATCTTAAATGATTAGGTGTGTGTAAACTTGGCTTAAAAACCAAGCACGTAGTCTTAATAGTGTTAGAATTTACTAATTGGGGCCCAGGTCAGGAATGTAATAGTACAGAGACTGCATGTGCTTTCTGAACTAACAAATACAAAAACTCTAGAACAATTTGATGGATGTCAAAAAAAAAAAAAGTACTACAGATAAACACTTAATACAGCTTGGGTTGTTAATCCCTTTCTACTAAATCACTTACATTATAACAATATAATGACTGTTTACACTTGGTTATGAGAGGATACGCGACACACAGATAACTCAATGAGCACTGAATAATAACTCAGTTTTGAGAGGTACTGATTGGATTCTTAAATTGCTTTCATGAGCAGGCATTTTTATGTTTGGCTACAATGCTCAACGCTATAAAAACACCAGTTTCTTTCAGTTAAAACAGCTCAGACTACACTTTAGGACTAGGCTTAAGCCTTGTTTGTGAAACCGGAGGATAAAGTATTTATCTTTAAAATGATTAGGTGTGTGTAAACTTGGCTTAAAAACCAAGCACATAGTCTTAATAGTGTTAGAATTTACTAATTGGGGCCCAGGTCAGGAATGTAATAGTACAGAGGCTGCATGTGCTTTCTGAACTAACAAATACAAAAACTCTAGAACAATTTGATGGATGTCAAAAAAAAAAAAAAGTACTACAGATAAACACTTAATACAGCTTGGGTTGTTAATCCCTTTCTACTAAATCACTTACATTATAACAATATAATGACTGTTTACACTTGGTTATGAGAGGATACACGACACACAGATAACTCAATGAGCACTGAATAATAACTCAGTTTTGAGAGGTACTGATTGGATTCTTAAATTGCTTTCATGAGCAGGCATTTTTATGTTTGGCTACAATGCTCAACGCTATAAAAACACTAAATAGAAAACATTGCTCAGATCGCAAGGCTTGACAAGATCTTCATCAAAGTTGGTCAACATCAGGCAAAGATGCTAAATTATGAACACATTTATTTATATCTTGGAGAGTTTTGCCATGGCGGGGCAGTAAACTTGTTTTCATTTTTCTTTTTTTCATATTCATTTTTTTAAAGGATTCTTTGATGAATACAAAGTTCAAAAGAACAGCATTTAAAAAATGACTTTAAAACGGTACCCAATAGTTATTTAAAATGTTTTCCACTGGCCTTTAACTCTAAAAACTTTTGGAAACTCCGAATGCTTTTGGAGGGAGCACACAGACATTAGTGTTGTCATTCTCACCTGCAAGCGTGAGTCAATGCCCATGTTCTTCAGGAAGGATCTTTGTGTGATGGGTCCCAAGCAGGTCACCTCATTTCCTGTCATTTTTCTCAGGTAACTGAAGTCAACATCTGCTGTCAAGTCTGCCATGCCAGGTGCCTCCAAGACATTGTGGAGTTGATGGCCTTTAAAGCCCTGCCACAGAAATTAACTTTTTAACAACTAAATAAGGTGACTGCCTGACCCACATTTCAGAAAACATCAGTCTCGTGTGGAATCAGTGGATGGGTTTTGGGCCAACATTTGTAAAATGAATGTAAATCTACAGTACACTCAATCAATGGAACTGAACTTTATGGGGGTACATTCCTTTTTATATTGTACATTTTTAAGTTCACCTGAGTGATTCTGAACACTTTAGTAGTAAAACATGACTTCCTGTTTCACTGGAACAAGATTGGGTATGTGAGCATTTACTGAGAATTTAACATTTTAAATGACTTTTAAATGAAGTATTTGCTGATATTGCTGAATGAGATCGAAAAGAGAGCCGGTAAAATAACCCAATCTTTCCTTCACTAGTGTGAATGAGACTCGGCTGTTCTTTTCTTCATTTTTCATCAAATAGCATGATGGTATACTGTAACCAACAGGAAGTGGGGAAAAAACAAGAATAGCCATAGGAAACAAAACAGATATTTTATTAACAAATCTGTTGAGGACGGAATAAGCATTAGAAAGATGACTCATATGGCACTTACTCTGAAAGTATCAGTTTTTGTTCCATCATGGCCATAGTCTACAATCAAGGCTGCACCTCCGTCCTCTGCAATCCGATTGGCCAGTTTCTGAACAATGACTCCACCTTCTGGACAAACTTCCACATGCTGTCTGTTTTCATCTTTCTAAAAAGAATAATTTACCGAGTTCAGACGCCCAAGATGATGAAACAGAGAAATCTTTTTAAAACAGTTCAAAACACAACAAAATTATCTGATATTTTTGTAATCGTGAGCATCTATAAGGGTCATCCCTCTTATGATATTTTATATTTGATGGGTTTTTTGACAGTTACACACCGCTCCAGGGAGTCAGAAATTGACTGGCAGGCGTCACCCTCTTTAGCCAGCAAATGCTGTAACTACACCATCACGATACATTAACTGTTGTTAAAGTGTTGTGTGAATGCACATATTTGATATTTATTTATTATATTATTTTATATATATATTTCCATTTAACCTTACTACTTTGGAAAGCATTGCTGTTATTTTTAAACGTACTATAGAATTAAAATTGTAAAATTAACATTGCATTTCTTCCCATCAGCTGCCTGTGATCAGCCACATGACAATGTTAACAAAAGATGAGGAACTCACCTGTATAAGAATACTGGAGGCCAGTGTAGGACTGTGAGAAACCACAAATCTCAGTTTTTCTGGACTTTCAGCATCAATGTCAACCATCACCTCCCGCCAACCTTTCTCTGTTCTCTAAAAGAAAAAGAAAAATTAATTTTGGCCTGTAAGGTAATGCTAATGTTCATGTTTGAAAAATTGTTATTTAAAAGTAATTTATCCTAAGATTTTTAATATTTCATGTGAATACTGAAGTTAATAGTCCGATGTACCTGAAACTTGTGAATGGGTATAGCGTCAAAAAACTCATGGGCAAGGAAGACACTAAAACCTGGCAAAGGAAAGCAGACTTTAGCTACAACAAACTAAGAGCTTCAATTCCCATCAACTAGAGTTTGTGCGATTACATGACAGTTTGATGCATCCGTACCTCTTGGGATGTCCTCAATCCTGCGGTACCAGTATATAGGCAGGCCTGTATGTGTGGTGCCACTGCGGTAAACAGGCTGATCACCATCATTGGGCTGTGTATTATCTCCAGTTAGACATTCAGCCTGAAATTGGCTCAACTTTGGGCTGACCTCCACAAGATGAACAGAGATATCTGTCTCACCCAGGACAGTTTTCAACTGACTAAAGACCTGTTACATATGAACACACTTGTTTATATAAAAATTCTAAGTATCCCCACACAAGTACATAATGCAATCCTTTTGATACTCTATATTATACTCAGTGTCGTTTGCATGTAGTATTTCTGAGAACAACGGCACAACAACCAAATTTTGGGGGATATGCGATATATTATACAGCACCCTTCGCTGATTGTCAGCTTTGGTACATATAAGCAAAACTTTGCAGTGAATAAAAGTCTTTGCAGTTTATATGCCAACAGCCATATTACCCTGCAGCCCAAGACTGGTTGCCCACTGAAGCTAAGCAGGGTTGAGCCTAGTCAGTACCTGGATGGGAGACCTCCTGGGAAAACTAGGTTGCTGCTGGAAGAGGTGTTAGTGAGGCCAGCAGGGGGTGCTCACCCTGTGGTCTGTGTGGGTCCCAATGCCCCAGTATAGTCACGGGGACACTATACTGTAAAAAATCACTGTCTTTCGGATGAGACGTTAAACCGAGGTCCTGACTCTCTGTGGTCATTAAAAATGCCAAGATGTCCTTTGAAAAAGAGTAGGGGTGTAACCCCGGCATCCTGGCCAAATTCGCCCATTGGCCTCTGATCATCATGGCCTCCTAATCATCCCCATACACTGATTGGATTCATCACTCTGTCTCCTCTCCACCAATAAGCTGGTGAGAGGTGGGCGTTCTGGCGCAATATGGCTGCCGTGGCATCATCCAGGTAGTCAAGTCAAGTCAAGTCACCTTTATTTATATAGCGCTTTTAACAATACAGATTGTGTCAAAGCAACTGAACAGCATTAATTAGGAAAATAGTGTGTCAATAATGCAAAATGACAATAGTAAACACAAATTTTTCAGTTAAAGACAGTTCATCATTCAATTCAGTGATGTCATCATCCAGCTCAGTTCAGTTTAAATAGTATCTGTGCAATCATTTGCAATCAAGTCAACGATATCGCTGGAAATGAAGTGTGCTGCACACTTGTGGTGGTTGAGGAGATTCCCCCCTTCTACTTGCATTAATTTTACATGACTTTCTAATCATGCGGCTCCTTTGTGCGAGACGCGAGTGCAACGGTAATAGATGTCCCTCTAGAATATGTGCGAAATATGTGTTCTGTGTGAACGGCTTGGTTTCAGTTTTGATGTAAACAAGATCTTCTCCGCATTGATGTTCTCTTTTTCTGCAATATTTTTAATGAACAACGCAGCAGCACCGCATCTAGTGACTTCAACTGGATAGGCCAGGGGTAGGCAAGTTCGGTCCTAGAGAGCCGCAGTCCTGCAGAGTTCAGCTCCAACCCTGAAAAAATGGATAGGACCGAACTCGCCTTTCCCCTGGGATAGGCTAACAAAAACATTATAATGCAACGACACTTACATCGTCATCGTATCTCGTGCGCCGCTGATAAGGCTGCCTCCTTAACGCACAACTAAAATTCGAATGCAACGTTTTTGATTTGGATGTGGATTTTTAAATTCGACGAATATTCGAAATTCAAAAAAAAATTTGACCGCCTTAATTGCATCCTTTCTTACAGAGGAAGCGCAGCGAACCTACTATTCCTTGCGGCCTCCAAAGAGCGAGCATTATGAGATGTTAAAAAAAGAAATCCTGGCAGGAGTGGGGCTGTCTCCTGTCTGCGCAGCCCAGCAGTTTCATGACTGGTCGTATGACCAAGCACCGGTGCAGAATCAGGCTGCTTAGTTAATCCGGCTCGCTCACCTCAGGATCTTAACTTGCGATCCTACTGCTACCCAAGTCACTGAGAGAATGGTTATTGACCGGCTGCCTCCCTGGCTGACCTTATTGAAGCAGTGGAGCTGTCAGAAGCAGCATGTGCTTGTCGTGGCCTAATGGTTAGAGAGTCGGACTCATAACCCAAAGGTTGTGGGTTCGAGTCTCGTACCGGCAGGGATTGTAGGGGGGGGGGGGGAATGTACAGCACTCTCTCCCACCTTCAATACCACGACTGAGGTGTCCTTGAGCAAGGCACCGAACCCCCAACTGCTCCCCGGGCGCCGCAGCATAAATGGCTGCCCACTGCTCCGGGTGTGTGTTCACTGCTGTGTGTGTGCACTTTGGATGGGTAAATGCAGAGCACTAATTCTGAGTATGGGTCACCATACTTGGCCACATGTCACGTCACTATTTTTTTTTTTTGTGATGCTGGAGAGAGAGTGGCAACAATTCCCTAGAGCAAGGCAATGAACCGGCGACTGCTGGAAGGCACCTCTCAACCAGTAAGCAGGTCGGCAGCCCCTGTACCACAGGATGAGCCCATGCCCACTGAACCTCGTCCCCAGGGGCTAGGGCATGGACAGCAGGTTGTATCATACATCGCGCTGTACTGAGAAAGGCACCTGAGCAGTCAGTGCAGGTCGAAGGAAAGCTGGTAAAAGTTAGGGCTGGGACAATAAATTGATGCATCGCGATTCGTGGATCGATTCTGAGATTATCTGAATGCATTGCGAATCTCTCTGGAATCGATTCTGATCTTAGTTTTTAACAGTAGACGGCGCTCTAGGCTAGTTTTTAACCTCACACTCAAATGCTCACAAAGAAGAGCCCTTGCAGTTGTGTTGCTGTCTATGGGAGGGTCAGAGAGCTCTCGGATTTCATCAAAAATATCTTCATTTGTGTTCCGAAGACGAACGAAGGTCTTACATGAGGGTGAGTAATTAATGACAGAATTTTTATTTTGGGGTGAACTATCTCTTTAAGCATCATTGTGACACACAATTTCACTTTAAATAAACGTGAGTGAAAATAAAATGAAAGACCAAGATGACAGATTTTTCCACAGCCTGTTTTGCTCATATTTACCAATATTAGTACATTTTATATCACCTTCCTCTACCAGACAATTACAGTCTAACAGGCGATGGGGTGTTTAAACCAAAAATATTCATTGGAGTATTTACCCTCAGGATGTCACTGGCCAAAGAGCCTCTACCTGGTCCGAGCTCCACTAACTGGAACGTGTTGGATTTCCCAGCCGCCATCCACTCACTGACACACCAGACACCCAACAGCTGTGGAAGACCATATATAACTGTCATAAAATAAGAACATATTTTTATATGGTTGTAGGTATCAGTCATCATTTTATTCAAAACCATGCTTACCTCTCCGAAAATTTGACTGATCTCTGGCGACGTAATAAAATCACCACCTGCTCCAAGCATGTCATTTTGCACGTAATATCCCTAAAACGGCAAACAACAGACTTTTGGTCTTTCGTGGAAGAGCGCTTGCTATTATAACTACCTCTTATAATGTCTACAAGTGGGTGGGTGGGTGGGTGGGTGGGTATGTGTTTGCGTGAATGCATAGACATTCATATAATCCATATGAATTAAAAGGCAAAAGGGTGCAAAAAACTTTGCATACAGAATGACCAGCTTCTAAAAATTGCATGCATCAGGAGGTTTTTGATCTTTCCATCTCACCATGCTCATATTGTTTTTACCACATATTGTTTATTACAGGGCTAATTTAACATTATCTGAGCTACAGATAAAATATTGCTCTATTTTATAACCTGTTACTAAGCTACGAAATGATGTAATACTGATATTCTTAAATACAACAAAATTCAGTCATTTGGTCAACAAAATATGTCATATGCAGAGAGCGGGAAAATGCTGCAAAGGAAAGGTTGTGTGAAAATGGGTGGGGTGGGTATGTGTTTGCGTGAATGCATAGACATTCATATAATCCATATGAATTAAAAGGCAAAAGGGTGCAAAAAACTTTGCATACAGAATGACCAGCTTCTAAAAATTGCATGCATCAGGAGGTTTTTGATCTTTCCATCTCACCATGCTCATATTGTTTTTACCACATATTGTTTATTACAGGGCTAATTTAACATTATCTGAGCTACAGATAAAATATTGCTCTATTTTATAACCTGTTACTAAGCTACGAAATGATGTAATACTGATATTCTTAAATACAACAAAATTCAGTCATTTGGTCAACAAAATATGTCATATGCAGAGAGCGGGAAAATGCTGCAAAGGAAAGGTTGTGTGAAAAGCCCTTATATATGGAGATGGTTTGAGCGTGTTTATGCAAATGACCAACCTCGGGTATGCGGCTGCTCATTTAGAATAATCAAAATTTTCATTTTTGAGGTGAACTATTCCTTTAAGAACATATTCATGTGCATATACTTAGGCGGCATGTTTTGTGAGAAGTTCTCCCATGCATATCCATAATCTATGTGAATGAGAACCACTGTTCCCCATGTGACTTTATTCAATTTCTGTTGTAAGCTATAACTTACCTAAAAACTACTGTTCGTAGACCTTACTGGAAAACTTAGAGCACTGCTTATTTCATTTGTATCTTTGTTCTGTTGCATTTATTCGTCCTTTTTGTTTGTGATTAGTGTCTTTGCTCTTATTGTATTGCGAAGTTTATTTTCCTTCTATAATTGGTTTGAGGAACCTTTATTTACATTAGTTATCCTAGTATTAGTTTTTGCTGAATTATCAAAATTGGTAATTGTGAAATTACACTCATATCTAAAATTACTCCTTCGTGAAAGTTGATCATATTACCCATCAATTGTGTGACATAATTGTGATTTAAATATTGACCAGAATTATTATGATTTTTGCCATAATCGAGTAGCCCAACCAAAAAAATTACATTCATCCACAGAAAAAAAAATGATCTTGGGATTTTAATAACCAATATTTAGTCATTTAAATAAGGATTGTGATTCATGCGAAAAGCTATATTTTTACCCAGCACTAATTGTAAGGACACAAAAAGTTTAACAGTTCTATAACATACAGTACAAAAAGTAAATGTGACATGATACATACCGCCACTGGATTGGTGAGTGCCTCCCTCATGTACTCAGCTACTGAAATTGGACCCGTGGCAGTAATTTTGGAGATAAGATGTTTATGGATGGATGAGTTTGACTCCAGGCTCCGGATGGAAGAGTTTGAGCAAGATCTGTTTTGCCACATGGTCCACCGCACTACAACAGACACCACTGCATCATTACTCATTTACATATCTGCCTGTACTGTATCTACGTTTGTGAGCTGTGTTTCCTAGAAGGCTGAGTGACGTGGGGTTGTTCAATTTTGGTTTAGTTTTCCTCATACCCTGTTGTAAGCTTTCAGAACACATGGAAAATATGCCAAAAGTTGTATGTAATCATTCTGTGATACTTTTGCTTTTTTTTTTAAAGCCTGAAGCTGGTCACTACTTGCAGCAATTATATAGATAAGTAGGCCTACAAGTGGGACATTTAAAAAAAAATAAAAATTTTAAAACATTATTTTGTGGTCTGAATAAATGGTCCTACAGTATTAAAACAACATCAGGGCGATAATAATGACTAAATTGTCACTTTTAGGTGAACTTAACAAATGTGTCACAAGGCACCCTTACGGAACAAAACTATATGGGAATATACTGCAAAATACAGTATAATTGATATATTACATAATACATTTCCATATATTGGAAACTAGAGCTTATATTTTTCAATATATGCATTGACAAATATACATACAAATATATTTAGAAATTAAGACAAAGATAAATCTAATATTTATAATATTTGAGTCTTTATTGCGTATATATTGCACACAGATGCTCCCATATAAATGTGAATGTACTATGTACACACATATATATATATACACACATTCACACAATGAGTTAAAGCAGATCTCTAGTTCCCAGCATGCTTTGCTTCTGACTGATAAAGGAGAGTAAAAATGTTAACATTAAGTGTTATGTCACGTGTTTTTGCTCAATATTAATATATGGGGAGATCTTTTAGTGTTTAATGTTGTATTATTTTGAAATGTAAAAGGGTTTCTGGTGTGTGTAAGTTTGTGGGGTTATTATTGTCTAGAAGAGTAGAGTCCGTTGTTAGGAACACGATTGGCCAAACACTTAAATTATATGTTACTTTATTAATAAAGTAATGGCTGTGCACTTATCAGCACAGTGATAGTCTGTTCACCAAGTGCTTTATTATGAGCAGGTGTGCTTATGCTATTGTGAACTAGCTATATTTTAAAATACAAAAAGTGTATATCATAAATGATTATTAAATATATATTTCCATATACAGTATGTGTGTATATACCGCAATATATTTTTACACAAGCAGTGACATATCTTATCACATGTACATCTATGTATTATAATGTGTATTACTGAATATTAAATTACATATATTGTGATATATAAGTAAATATATTGTCACATATTTTTTTTATATACGAAAGCAGCAATTCCTTATGTATTATTCAATATATTGTAATATATTTACACAATAAATTATGTTACAATTTTTAATATATCGTTATGTCATTGATCATTATATTAGGAAATATATTTTCTTTGCGTAATGAGCAGTCCACAATACACAAGACACATAGACCCTGTTTACAAATACACAGTAAAACAGTAGTAATACAGTTGGCCCTGGTAAGAAGTTTTATCACAGAATGAGCCAATACGAGGGGTGCTCTAATTTTCAAGTGTTTATTTTTTTTGACACAAGCTTCGGAGTAGCATATGTACACATATGTAACCAGCCTACTATAGCGGTGTATTTTCCGTATACACAGTATTTCGCAGTTCTTTCATCTGAATGCCAGAAGTTAAGAAATGTTATATTTTCCGCCGAGGATGAGGGACACTCGCAGCGCTAAGCATGCAACGTAATGAGATCATGACAAGAGTGATGCACACTACTGTCTGAAACGTTTATTACACACTTCATATTGTTTTGATGTTCTGCATCGTGTTCCATTACCAATATAGCAGTGTCTCACTCTGATTAAAATAAACTAATCTCACCTTCTGGCATTACCCGCTTCAGCCTCAGCAGAGTCCTCATGCTTTATATCATATAACAATAATCATGGGAATACATTCACAAAATATCAACATGCTGTCACAAGTCCTTTGTTCTGATTGGCTGAGGTTAAGCTTCTTCTTCTTCTTACCCGTTTTTATTGGCGGGTCGCAGTCACAAATCGAGCATTACCGCCATCTACTAAGGCAATGGATCAGAGACTTAAAGGGATAGTTCACCCAAAAATGAAAATTTGATGTTTATCTGCTTACCCCCAGGGCATCCAAGATGTAGGTGACTTTGTTTCTTCAGTAGAACACAAACGAAGATTTTTAACACAAACTGTTGCAGTCTGTCAGTCATATAATGGAAGTGAATGGGAATCACGGCTTTGAGAGTAAAAAAAACATATACAAACAAAACCAAATTAAACCCATGCGGCTCGTGACGATACATAGAGACACGGTGGATTGCAGACTTATAAGTGAATTACCACCACCTATCTCTCAAATGGACCATTGACACTCTATCTACAATCTCAATTAGGAGTGTCAATGGTCCATTTGAGAGATAGGTGGCGGTAATAAGTCTGCGATCCGCCGTAAAGCAAGAAGAAGATGCCTCAGGCGCCTGCTATTGAGAACGCGCTCAGGAGCACGCACCGCTGCTCAGGACAGTTCGAACAGTTCGGGCATTGCCTGAATCAGAAGTAAAAAACTATATAAATACTGTTCAGTTTCTTGCACAGACCGATCGTTTTGTGTCTTTACACATCAATGTATCGTCACGAGCCGCAGGGTTTAATTTGGTTTTGTTTGTGTTTGTTTTTTTTACTCTCAAAGCCGTGATTCCCATTCACCTCCATTATATGACTGACAGACTGCAACGGTTTGTGTTAAAAATCTTCTTTTGTGTTCTACTGAAGAAACAAAGTCACCTACATCTTGGATGCCCTGGGGGTAAGCAGATAAACATCAAATTTAAATTTTTGGGGGAACTATCCCTTTAAATCCCTTTTCGCCAGACCTGTCAGGACTGGAGCTTTCGATGTTGCTGCGTGTTCACTTCAGCTCCTCCATCTACTGCCCAGGTCCCTCCCAGCCCAGCAATATAAGGTTATTTTTATTATAGCAATATTAATAATCTATATTCTATTAATTAACTGAGTTCTTTTTAGACATTTTATTAACAGACTATCGCCTCCTACTGGATTCAAAATCTATTTTAATGTTAAATGCTGCTCACCGTTCTTCTGAAGGTCATCGATTAGTTTACATCTTTCCTCCGCATATCTATTACACTGAATAAGTACATGTTCTACTGTTTCTCTGACTCCGCACCAGTCACACATTCCCGTTGGATGTTTTCCTATTATTTGCAATGTTGAATTAAGTCCTGTATGTCCCAACCTTAGTCTTGAAAGAACACAGTCATTCTTTCTTCACCCTCTTGAATTCCTTCCTCTACCTACCATTGGTTGTATTGAATATAGATGCCTGCCCTTTCGCTCATTATCCCAATAAATTTGCCAGTTTTTATTTATCCCCTTTTTAATTATTGACTTAAGTTCAGCTTTACTGTACTGAATTTGCATATCTATTTCCTTTGCCATTACTTGTTTTGCTAATTGGCTTCCTCATTCCCTGCCACTCCTGTATGTGCCGGAACCCACAAGAACTGAACTTGCCCCTGAACTGAATCTTATTTGTCTGCTGCAACACATATAATAACTGAAGGAACTCCAAGACAATATCTTGTCTAGTTTCAGACTGTTGAGCATCCAGGCATAATAAGGCTGAGCTTGAATCCGAGCATATTAGTGTTTTGTTTATCCCCATTTCATATATTTTATTCATTGCTATCTAAATTGCTAGCAACTGTCCTGTAAACACCGATACATGATTTGATATTCTTTTCTCTCCAGACACTTTCAACCTTGGGATGACGTATACTCTACTCCCACCGGACCATTCTGTGGATCCTTAGAGGCATCTGTAAAAACTTGTACAATCTGTTCATAATTAGTTCCAATATATTCCTTTGTCAATTCTGCCTCTAGTAACTCATGTCCTGTCCTTTATCTTGTCTTGTTGCCAATAAGAATAAGTCCATAAAGGTGGTAAAATCCATAAAGGTGTCGTTGGTAAAATTACCGTTGGAATAACTCTGTATTTAGTTCTATCTCCTGCACTAAATCCACAATGATCCAACCAAAACTATTAACTTTCCTTTTTCCATGCTCCCAACATGCCTCAAGTAGTCCTTTCACCGGGTGATTATCCTTTTGGCCTTTTAAGCTTGTCCAATATGTCAATAACAGTTGTTTCCTTCTTAAGTGAACTGGCATTTCCCCCATCTCCACCTGTAACGCTGAAACTGGGGAGGAAGGATAAGCTCCACAACAAATTCTCAAAGCTTGTGATTGAATTCTTTCTAATTTTCCTAACTGTGACTTAGCTGCTGATCCTTATGCCATACATCCATAGTCTAGTATTGCTCTAATCATCATCTTCTTCTTTTAATATTATTGGCGGTTGGCAAACCAACTTAAAGGAGCATTTAAATCCGTGTATCATTCGATCATTCGTTTTTTGATTTAATATTGAAAGTAGAAAAATTAGAAAACCGATCCTTTTTCGTTTTTTGTTTTTTTTCCAAAAAACTAAAAACGAGAATTCAGCTTAAATTTTCTTTTTTCGTTCATGGGTGGAAAAATGAATAAACAGTTTGAATATTTGATTTCTACATGTGGGCGGGAATTAAATGCCCCTTTCTGCTGATTGGTCAGCTGAAGATCAAACTGTGCCATCATCAGTTCTTCTGCAGTATCACACAGCAGAATAATAGTCCTCCACTGCTGCAGTTGTACGGATTAATAACCCATTTTATCAATTTCATATTTTTCTCATCAAACAGACTAATGAATAGCTCGTCTAATGACAGAGTATTAAGTTCCCTCGATGGGGGAAAAATCCAAGTGAACATCAATCAGTACTCAATATTAATTTAAACTGCTTTAAATATGACTGCTGCTTATTTCCTGTGCACTTCAATACTGGTCTGCGCTTGACTGTAGTCGCGTCTGTCTGCTTATTGAGTTTATTTAACCCATCGCAATTTCGCAACATCGCAATGTCCTGCTCGGACATGCCAATTTAATGGCAGGGAATGGTGACTTTAGTTGTTGTTGTTTTTTTTTAAGCAGATACATATCTGTCATAAAATAATCCTATGCATCTCGTGCCGTATATTCCAAGCATTCTGAATGTATACTGAGGGTTTGGTGAGAAAAAAACTAAATGGCAAGTTATTATATTTTATGAAAATCTTGCGTTGCAGCTCACGCATAGCCTTTTGAGATATCAATTATGATCAATTTTAATAAAACACAAGATTACATTATATAACTATAACAGTAGGTTATTTAATATCAGTTGTTCTCTGGTTGTCAGT